CACAATGTACTCAATGACATATTTTAGAAGACTGGGAAAGCATACTTTAAAGTTTACAATGAGTATATGGTAAACGTTTAGATGACCTCACCCGCTGATGCAATCATAAAATAAGGTTGAGTCATCAAAGAACACATTAATTTTATTTAATCAATGTAAGTACATGTTATTTGTTTGTTTAGTTAATATTATAGCCTTAATCAGCTAATATTGCGCAATCACCTGCACCGCCTTTTTCGCGCTTCATAAAGGCTGAAAGTTAAGTGCAATTTAAACATCGAACTTAGTGGAACACTTTCTTTTTTTCTTTTTTAATGAGTCATCACCGTAAATTTGTATTCTAACAATTATAAACTATCAATAACCAGAGAATTTTTCAAAGTTTAAGGGCTTCCTAACTATTTAGAAATAAACTCGCTCATTACAGAACTAATGACATTATAATTGGAAATTCCCTTTAAAATTTAATTTAGTGCTAAATAATTAACAACCTAATTAGAGAATCATAACAAGGAAGAATATAACCAAGACGCAAATCCATTAATCTTTTATTAAAAGAAGGAAACATTCTACTGTAAAGCGCTTAGAAGTTCCTTAATATTTCATAATTAATGTTCCTTTCCCATAATGTGGCCTTCACTTAAAAAATCAGTATAATTAAATAAACATGGGGTTCAGGGTTGGAGAAAAAAAATTCAACGAGTGAGAAAAAAAATCTTACTACAAGTAAATAGTTTGAATAGGGAAAGAACAATTTGTTGACAGGAAAATCGGATGAGGACTATAAAGAAATGCCACTCATCTGGTGAGGCCATTTTTATTTTCTAGAACAAAACGTTAGTCATCTACGCTGAATCAGGTGACTTGGAAGAAATCTTGCGCAAGCTTTGATAGGCAATGAAAAATTTTATGATCAAGATAGGGGATGAAAAACTTTAAAATTATTGAGAAAATGTTCTTGTTATAAATAATAGCTAAAGTAAACTCAATCAATAAACTATAACTATTATATGATAAACAAAATAGTGAAAAGAAACAGTAAGAAACCAGATTTGAACAAGATTGCAAAATTTTCTGTAAAATAAATAAATGAATAAAACAATTTTCTAAGGGATTATGTTATCAGTAAATCGAAATGATTGTTAGACGACTCAATTCACTTTAACAAAATTTAAAATCGGCATTTTTCGATTTCATAAATATAGGTAGCACTTTCGTAGGCAGCCACTGTAACACATTACTTACATTAATTAATTACCAAAAGTATAGAATTTCTTTAAGTTTCTTCCATTTTGTAAAATAAAAAATTCTATTTTATCATTAAGATTTTTCCCAACCGTATGGATGAAGTAACCTCAGTCTATGATACAAGACAAAAAAAAAAATTTCAAATCACATTAAAATCATTTTTAAATAAAACTTTGAAAACATTTATATTTTTATCCAACGGAAGAAAAGAAATCAAGTTCAGGTGGTTCATTTCAAATATTTTTTTTTTTTTTTAACATTCGAAATCAAAGGGAGGTAAAACAATTTTAGATAGTTATGTGAAATTTTTTTTTTTTTAAATTTCCTATGAGCTGCACAATCAGTCCTCCTGATGAGCAGACCTAGTGCGTTCTCCAGAAGTGGTATCCACTCTTAAAGGACCACCACAATGGGTAAGATACCGTTGGCCATGTTAATTTGGACGTGTAGTTTCTGCCACACTAGATGGCATTATGTGCAGAAATTAATGTGCAAAAATTTTGAACGATTTCTCTTAACTCATCTTTTTTAATGGAACAGCTTCTAACTACTTAAAAATGTTCAGAATAAAGACTGATCATCGGTGATAAGTTAAACAAAAGTTTATGTTTATCTTATCTTTTGTATCAAAATCAGAATAAGCAACTAATGAGTTCATTAAATCACTAACTTCAAGTACAAGCAGTTTAATATTTTCCTAACAATATTATCTTTAAAAAAATCAATTTTTCAAGGCCTTGCAACGAAGTTCAATGAAACAAGCATTGTATTAGTATTTTTGTTGAGGAGTTAAACTCGTTAGATTAGAATAAATAGAATACACTATTTAAAAATTAAAAGTGTAGGCGTAAAAGGATTTAAAACATAACGCGGTTAAAAACTTCAATTTAATTAATACAGTTTAAAAATTTGATTACAATAAAACCAAATTTAATATGATTTTTATTTTAATACTTTTACTTAAAACAACACCGATCAAAAGTTTGTAAGCAGCTTCGCAAACACTATTTTCAAAAGCTCGGTAATTTGTTCGTTATACTTTAAGTAATTCACCTTATCTTGGAAACTGGATTTTTAAAAAAAAAGTTAATAATATTAAATAGAAGTAAAAACTACTAAATATACTTATATTTCATGAATCATAAATCGAGGGAATAAGTAATAACAACATTCAGATAAGTATCTAAGTTGAGAGTACTCAATTATGTGTACATAAAGAATGCTTTAAAAATTTACTTCGTGTAAACAAATGCTAATAATATTTTGTTATGTTGAATTAAAGGCGTCATAGTTATCAAAAAAAAAAAAAAAAAAAAAAAAAAAAAAAAAAAACAGGAATTTACAAGAAAGTTAAAAAATAAATAAAATATCGACGTTCGCGGTATAAAGTTAAACGTTTCATAACTTTATGAATTCTAACCTGAATTTATTTTTTTCTTTAAAAAAAAAACAATCAAAATTAACAACACTATGACAGTGAAACCTCTCGTTCCACACTAAAATGTTTGTTCTTAGGGGATACCTCCATTTTCTTCAAAATGTTATCGAAGCTACAAGATTTTTCGCAAACGATTTTAATTTTTGTCAGTGTAATTTCTTTGAGCGGAAATGCCGCTTGTGTTTGTGACATGAAACTAGATTGATAAATAAAATTAATGCACTCTGACTGCAACATAAGGTTGTAAATCTTTTTCAAAGATCGTAAAAAAAAATTTTAAAAAAAGCATTCTAAATAAGAACATCGCACAAATATTTGGAATAAATTTTAATTCACTTATCTGTTTTATTAAAATTATTTATTTTGATATTTTTCGTGTTTCCATACTTGACTTTTTCCGCCATTTGGTGCAAAGGTTTGCCAGTTTCGTTGGGAGAGGTTTTGATGGTCTTCCTGAAGGTTTTCCTCAATGCTACGTTTATGGAAAAAATTCCTTGCCTTCCAAAATTGGTCGTAAATAGTGGTAATCACTACATAAAGCTGGTCTTTAAAAATCGTCGGATATACTTTTTCAGAATCAATTTACAATATCTTTGTATACGAGTCAAAAGAGTTTGAACACAAAAATCCTTAAAATGCATTTTACAACAGTTAAAATGTTTCTTGAAAGTTAAGTACTAATAACGATTGACATTTTTAAAAAAACTTCGACTAGATATATATTACAAAATACGAAGACAAACTTAAATAAATGCCACGGATATGAAAACGTCAAAAGCTAGTTGATAATTAAGATTGGCATTTAAAATACAAACAAGAAATATTAAGAACTTAAAACAAAGTATGGTAGCCAGACACATTTAGAAGCGCCTTGCCCTAGAAACAGTTGGCAGACATTCAAGTCACAGAAGAGTAAGTTGTCAGCTATATTCAGTTTCAGGCAAGGTAATTCAACTCTTCTCTCAACAATGTCAATTCTTAATAGAAAAGCAAAAAAATTATGAAAAATTTTAATAACATAATTTAAATCATTAACACTTTTTGACTTTAGTCCTATTTCAGAAGAGGGATTTTAATTTTGGTTAAAATTTTGGTCAGCTGTTAATATATTTTCTTTTTAAAAGCTACAAAACTTATGACTCAGTTTTGAAAATATGCCAGACATGTGAACGAACTAAAATAAAAAATACTGAAATAATATGGCAATGCCAATTTTTCAGGGAGATGAAATTAAATACACAATCACAATGTCTTACTGAATTTTACACATAAGAAGGGGGGGGAAATGTCCTGAAACCTTTAAATAACTGCAAAAAAGACAAATTTTTATCTTCTTTTTTTCGTGTTTATAATTTAGAATAATTTAATTCTATGATGATTCATGAAAGTTTTCTCCGTTTGTCTGAAATATTGAGGGGGGTCTTAGAAATTTCAAATTATTGAGAAGGACATAAACCCATGATCCCATTCATTGTGAGTATAAGAGTTTTACAAACGAAAATGATGGCTCGTACAATTTTTGCGTTCACAAATTTTAGACCAAAAACAATACAGGTTTTAAAAATAATAAATAAGCATTTCATGAATTATAAAAAAATTTCAAAATATTTCTGCAAATTAAGAGTTTTTTAAAACAGATTAATTATATGGATTTGTTGGAAATGTAAAAAGAATGTTTTTAAAAAAATTTTGAATTTGCCAAAAAATTCTTTACAACTACAATTTTAAAAATTCAACTTTAATTTCTTTAATGAATATGTTTTGAAAAAAAAAATACTAAAAGAAAACACAAATATTAAATTAACAACACACAAATAAACAACACAAATAAACACAAAAATAAAAATATGACCACCAAAGCCGACGTCTTCAGGGGGTACCGGTCTCGGTAGCCATTAAAAACAAAACCATTTCTAATTGAGAGAGAAGCAAATGCTTAAAATATCTCCCTCAGTACCCTGATGGTTTTGTATAGAGGCCTCTATAAGAAGGGGCATAGCAAGCACATAGCAAGCTCAAGGTCAATGTCAAGAAAACTGGGACAGGCGCAGTAGGCCTTGGCTCTCCATCTGCTGTTGCATTAAGTTTAGTGGCAAACTTTAAATCAAAATGAAATTTCTGATTTACCATAAAAATGATCTTTAGAAGCTTTTTCATTTAAGAAAATTGACCTTAAATTAAATAGTTATTAAAAACCACATAAATATAAGAATTAATTCCTTAATCAGAATATTAATACCATTATTGAAAAAAAGAAAATACCTATATAAAAAATTTAAAATAGTAGTGATGAATCTTGAATTTTAAAACTTACCACAGTTCAGTTCATCTGAACCATCTCCACAATCATTTTCCTCATCACACTGCCATGAAATTGGAATACATTTATTAGATCTACACTGAAAATGATGTGAAGAGCATTGGCCTAAAATGATAAAAAAAATTCAAAAAAATTTTAATTTACACACATACTATGCACTATAATAAGAAACACAAGGAAGGGGGGGGGGGAATACAGTATTTTGATGAAAATTAGGAAGGGGAAGAAAAAAAAACACAAGATTTCTTGTTAGGTATTTATTTCTTGTTATGTTTTCCAACATTTTATTATGAAGATGTTTTTAAATGTACAATGATTGATTTAATATAATGTCTTGGAAATTGACATTATATACGTACATACATATTTACATAAGAGGTTAAGATACAGAAGAAAAAAATACTCCTAAAAATATAGGAGTTCATAAAACTTATTCCTGTACTGTGTACTTAGGAGTCTGTCTAGGTTTTTCTGAAAGGTACCTTTTTGTGAAAATGTAGACATAATTTGTGAAAAATCAAATTATATTAAAAAATCAACACGAAAACATAGTAAAAATATAGATTTATCGTTTTTTAAGGGATACAAAAATAAAATTTAAGAAAAAGTATTTTGTGAAAATACCGTTTTTCCTAAAGTTGAATTTGTGAAACTACCGTTTTACCTAAAATTGAATTTGTGAAGGTACCGCTAAACTGTAGTAAATTCGGCCTGGACAGACCCCTGGTACTGAAGTGATTTTTTTAAATTAAAATTGAGAAATAGTTATAAAAACTTCTTTTTCCACATAGTTAATTGTTTTAAATAGCAAGCTTGACAGTTTTAATAATTTTCTAAAAGATATGAAGATAAATTGACAATTGATTGATATAAATTAGTAAAAATTCACAGTACTTACACAAAATCTGAGAGTTATTTCAGACATTTTGTAAAAAGTCTTATTTTATGAAAAATAAAGAAATGATTTTGTAAATTTGTGAAAATAGGATCCTATTCTTGTGATTTTATTTTAATTTTATAATAGCCATTGAACAGTCAACTCCAAATTGGTAGTGAACCCAATTTGGAGTTGACTACCTATGTTCCAACTCCATAGCCTTGTAATTTTGAACCCCATCCAGAAGACAGGAGATTCCTGAAGCAGGTATTGGAAAAAATTTGTCTTCATGGAGGACTTTTTGATAGAACTAACCCACATTTGCATTACATGGAGAGAAGAAGCACGAAAAACTCCCACAGTTAACCTGGCAATGGGACTAACCCATGATCCATACAACTTGGTATATTTTTCGCTAGCAATGTGGTCGATGCCAGCTGGGCATAGAATTCGTATCGAGCAGCTTGGAATTGAACCCGGATCACACCATTAAGAGGCGGATGCTCTATCCCCCGAGCCACCACAGCTTTGTTTTTGAGATTCAAAGAAAAATCTACTCATAATTATCTTAATAAAAAATTAACATTTCTGCTAAGGACCTTATTTGCGAATGTGTAAAAATAAATGCCTGTTTTTACTAAAAACTGGATCTTTCAAGGTATTGTGATGTTAAAATTATGAATTTATGAAGTAATAAAACCATTTTTCAAAGTAATCATAAGAACCGATTTTAAGATAAAATATTTTGCCAAGTTCCACATTTACTATAAAATAATTTTTGAAGGATCTATAAATGGATCTGAATGTCTCCAAGATAAATCCATAATTCTCCCTGAAGTGGAAAAATGTACTCCTTTAAACAGCTTTGAATATTTGTGATGCTTAAAGACACCCTACCTTTTCTCTCGTTTAATCGGTCAAAAAACCAATTTCCATCCTTGTTATTTAATGAGGAATTTGTGTTAAAAAGAAACGGCTAAACAAACTAGCCCAAATGTAAAATACCAACTGATTAATAAGGCAAAATTACTGTTATAATAATATGGAAATTTATAGTTTCCTATATTAAGCTGGGGTCTGTCTAGGTTTTTTCTGACAGCTACTGCCTATTTTGTAAAAATTTAGACTTAATTTGTGAAAATTGAAAATTATATTACAAAATCAACATAAAAATATGGATTTATCGTTCGTTACGGGATATAAAAATAACATTTTCAGAAAAAGTATTTTGTGAAACTACCATTTTGCCTAAAGTTGAATTTGTGAAGGTACCGCTAAACTGTAGTAAATTTGGCATGGACAAACCCCTGTTAAGTAATCAAATTTTGAAAGAATTTATTAAAATAATTAAACCTCTGACAAGGAGCTAAATATAATTGTGAATTTCCTTATTCGAAGTATTAAAAAATCACACAAAAAAAATAATAAACTGCAATTTACTTTAAACTTTATGCCACTAAATAAATCAGCTTCTAATATTTGTATTATAGAACAGTAAACAAATATAAATTATTCGAGTCTTCTGAAAAATATTTAAAATTAAGAAGAGTTTAAAAGTAAAGAAATTTCAGGAATTAAAAATTCTAAAAAGGATTGATTTATATGATGTCAAGCACTAATGTTACAATAATGATAAAAATCAACAAAGTATACTCATTTCTTGAAATGCTATAAATAGAGGTAAGTTGAATATCTTATCATTTATCATAATAATAATCTATAACTTGATGCTTCCAATACAAAATTAGAAAGATTTTCATCACCTAATCATGTGCACTCAAAGATTAATAAACACTCTCAAGATAATACTACTGATAAAAATCCATACAACAACAAAAGCTTAAAATTATAACTAATCATGTAACAATAATAGGATACATCCATAAATAATTACTGTGAAACTAATCAATAAAAGCATTTAGCTAATCAATCAATATTTAGATATTCTATTTAAAACCTTAAGCTTTGAAAATAATAACTTGAATACTATATTTTTTGTTTATTTTCAAGCAATTCAACAGTCATCAATTTTCATTTTTTAAAAGTTTAAAAATATAACAGTATGGTAAGACTCTTTACAGTAAATAAATGTGAAATATGTTAGGATTTTATCTTAAAGAATAAAACAAATTGTTTCTTCAACCGTTATGTTTAAAACACAGAATTACGAGATCTATTACTAATAAATTTGAAATTACTAATAAATCGATTATTAATAAATCAAACCATATAAATCATACTCCAAAAACAGTGATTTTAAAAAATGTATTGCATCGAATGATTCATAACTAAAGTTTAACTAAAATACTGCAAGTGTCACATAAGAAAAGAAATTTTTAAGTCTTAAGTTAAAATTTTCGCTATATTTAATGTGTATTGCATGTTAAAAATGTGAACAGAGGAGCATCAACTGATCAGTTGACATCTTGTTACAGATAATATAAAAATAACGATTGCTTCAGTGATCAAAGATCTTATTTAAAAGAAATTCTAAACATAAATAATAACTCTTTTTTTTTCTGAAGCAATAACTAAAAAATATGAGCCGGCATTTGACTTGGGCGGAACCATGTGACCCTATGCACTAATATGAAAATGCTAACAAAATTTTTAAAAAAAAAATGGATAACTCACCTTTTACTTGAATTGTAAACAGTGCAAGGAACAAAAATATTGGAATCACTGAATAAAATTTGTGCATTAATTGTAGTAATCCCATGACAAACGATTCAGGAGAGCTATCGAAAGCTCAGACGACCGACAAGCTACCTGAGAGTCAAAAGAAATACTACGGCTTCTTCTCCACGCAAGGAACGGTCATGACGTACGCGAAGTGGTTCGAATTGCTCTGCCACATCTTTTTGACAGCATTCTAGCAATCGCGCTTCTACCCCACACAATTGATGATGTATCATTTTTTGAAAATATCTACCCCAAATTTAAATCTCCAAAATTTTTGTGAAAACTTGTGTTTGTGTCAGACGATTTCTGTTTCAATTTTAGAATAAATTTTAGACGATTTTATTCGTATTTAAATTTATTTAAAATAATTAGAGGGGGTGAGTCGCGAAAGGATAAGCTCACCTCAGTGCATCACGCCACTATAGAACCATGTGATTGGCCGTAAAATGACTTTTTTCTGAAAGATTTGAGGGTGTGGACGGAGGTGTGAGACTTGAGTTTTCGCTAGTATATCATTCAAACGTAGACGATGGGGGTGAAAAAAAGGGGGTTAAGTCTACCGTAGTTAATATTCAGATACTTATGAAAGGGGATCTAAAAGTAAGTTACGTGCTGGGTCAATAGCCCAACTCTAACTTAGAATAATTAGATCAATATTGGAAGATGCTTTTCCTCAGGTAGTCTGTAAATATTACTGGTTTAAAATACCTCTTTTTGAAGCGGGGAAGCAAGGGACCGTGTACCCTTTCGTCGGAAAATGCTTGCCATCCCACCAAGAGAGGTACCAGACAAAAAAATTTGGCATTTAAAATATAGTTCAAATTCCTCATTTGAAAATTTTCAAAATGGTTTTGAAAGATGCTTTGCTTTGGCTCTCCTGTTGGCAGTGGTGCGCAGAGAGGGGGGGGGGAATAGGACATTGGACCCAGGCATCCAGCTAAAAGGGCTCCAATTTGACCTCTAAAGACACTTAACAGTTTAAATCAATTTCTGTTAAAAAATTAACTTTTTTTCATTGATAAATATTTGGTTGCAAAGAACAAAAGAATAAGCTGTGATTTTGAACTGTGAGAAGAATAAAGAAATTGAATAAGGAAGTCTTACGTAATTAAAATTTAAATATTCTTTACATTTAAGAAAAACTTAAGAATACATCGTAAGAAGTAATAAATTGTTTACCATCGAAGAATTTCATCATATATCTCCATAAAAATTAGAGTTTTTTAATACGTGCATATCTTTCTAATGTTTTTTTTTCCCTTCTTTTTTTTAATTTTTAGTTATTACACCTCTGTCAAAAAAAAATTTTTAGCCCTGTTTCTTTTCTCTATTTTTACAAAAAAAAAAAAAAATTAATGTTATTAATGAAAATGTATATCGTTAGAGGTCCATTCCGACAAAAACAATAAAATCCAGGGCCATAGCGAGAAAGTAAGATGCGAGAATTCATCCACCCTTAAAAAAAGCTTAAATGGATCAGAAAAGATCTTTTCAATAAAAGAACTACAATTTTTTAATGATTCATTTCGAAAATTTTACTGAATAAAACTTTCATAAAAAAAGTTTATATTCTTTGCAAAATAAAAACGTTTTATAAATAAAAATTTACAGTTAATGAGCATCCAACCCTAAATTTTGAGCACAAGCAGATATCTTAAATTCTTATTTATCTTAAAAGAATTTTGATTATCAATTTCAATATTCGAATTCAAATATCAATTTTTAAAAAAAATTATGATTAGCTTGCTACCACTTAAAAACTTCTGGCGGATCATTGAAAATGATTATAACTGTAGCAATAACAAAATGTTTAGCAGAAAATTCAAATTATAAAAGCTAGAATCAAAAATTCAAATTACAAAAGCTAGAATCAGAAATTCAAACTCGAAACATTTTTTTCTTCTTTTTATTATTATTTTTAACAGGGGTGACCAAGTTCCTTGACAGTCGAGCCATTTTTCAAAATTTGAAATTTTTTGCGAGCCGCAATTAAATACGTATTTAAAAGGTATTAAAAAAAATTTGTTTTACATAAATTATATCTATTGAAAACATATAAATAAAAGTACAAAATATGTATATTGAATTTAAATATTAAAAATTGAACACATTTATTTTACTTCTCTTGATAATTCTTTAAAATTTGGTGAATAATTGGTGACAACACTTCTCAGTAATTCCTTGAGATATTACTGATCGGTGTTTGGATTTCACGAATTTTAAAGTGAAATAAATTGATTCACTTAAGTACGATGTTCCGAATCTTGAAATAATTCGACAAGCAGCCTTTTTTAATTCAGGATATTCGATTTTGGTACAAATCTCCAAAGTTCAGTAATCGACGTCGACTTATATTTTAATTGTAGAGCTTGATCTTCTTGCATCTCTATTAATTCTAATTCTCCAGATGCTTTTTGGGTCCTAATTATATTGGAAATGGAACACTTACCTTGAATTATGGTAATTACAAAGAATTCCGAAAAAAATCAAGAGATGATTTAAAATATTTCAAGTCTTGAAATCTATTTTGGAACTCCGTCAATATTCCTTCTAACTTACTTTTTCTTAGAAAAAAAGGAATAAATTATTGGTAGATCGTGTTAATCGGTCTGGAGTCAGACGATTACGCCATTGTCTATGTTCGTTCGCGCAGTTTACGATGAGTCATATCTAAAGCCCGGAATTTCAGGCAATAAAAAATGCAAAAATAGGCAGGCAAAAAGGCATTTAAAAAGCTTGAAATAGGCACTTANGGCATTTATGGCATTTTGCCTGAACTTCCGGGCTCTAGTCATATCATTCTTAACTTGGACGGAAATGAAATTTGTCACAATGTTGCACTTAGTCTTGCATATTTGTTGTCAGTAAGTTAAAAGACATTTTGAAACACATACGGAACGATAATAACTTTTTAAAAGATAATAGCACAAAAATGAAAAGGGAACTCGGGTACATTTATTGAGAGCCACAAATAATCCTTCAAAGAGCCGCATGTGGCTCACGAGCCGCAGTTTGGCCACCCCTGATTTATAATATCATAATTTGGGTGTTGGAATTTGAAACCTGAAATTAGTTTTGGCCCTAAAGCTACGGTTTTTTTAATGGTATTATTTTGTTTAAGAACGTTTTACATAACAGGGGGTCGCATAAATGTTGTGACAAACTTCTAGGATAATTAGGGCACATTATCAGGATAAAATGTGCACACCCGGGAAATGTCGTCGTACCCGCCTGGAGGCGCTTTCCTATAATGACCTGTTCAGAAGCACACTAAAAAAATAAAAAAAAATAGAGAAGTTTCCCTAGAGGGGCTTGACGATATTTCTGAGCACAGAATCTATGTTTCTACGCATTTTTAATCCTGATGATGTACTCTAACTCCCTTAGAAGTTTATGCAACACCCTGATATATATAACGTTTTTAAACTTGTATATTTAGACAAAAAAATAAGCTAAAAATGTCGTTAAATAAAACTGTGGCTTTGGAGAGAGAAACTAATTATAGGTTTGAAATCAGCAATGCGAAAGTATCTAAGATATGCTGAAAAAGCTCATGCAAGAGGGGGAAAAATTGTTCCTCAGTGTTATCAGTAACAAGCTTTTAGAGAATAATACTAATTCCCATTATTTATATTAATATTAAACTATTGTAGTGTTACATACAAATTACGCAATTATTTAAAATATACGTTGATCTCTTTCTGAAATCAAATTCTAACTATGGCTGCTTATTCTTCTACGCTACCGTAGAATCCCAATTGAAACTATTCCACATTGGTTAAACGTTTCTACTCACTGCTTTCAACACATTGAATGCCATGCGGGTTACCGGTGACCGGCACTGATTTTGTTCGTAGCTCCACGGGGGTCACCGGTGACCGGTGAAGCCAAGATTATTAGAAACACATAATTCGAATAAATTGTTAATGCTTTTAATTTTTTATGTTATTATCGTTACTAAAATGGTTTGAAGAAATTAATGTAATACATACTGAGAAAATCATTTTGGCGAGACGGGCGAGCCATGTAAAATTAGCGTGGCATTCAACGTGTTAATATACCAAAAATTAAATTTTTTAAGATGGAATTAGTTTGTTTCGTTTAGAAGGGGATAAAAACGTAGAGTTAATGATTTTCATGATAAGCTTGTGCTCGTAGCAATCACCTTTGTTTCCCACGTTATCTATCTACAATGTGTTTCGTTATAAGTACCCTTATTATATATTTTTAGAATCCTTAACAAAAATGAAGCCAAAAACGTACACTGTATGGGGTGCAAATTAAAAACACGAAAAATGTTATTGAAATCTGTTATCTACAAAATTACTACTCAGAAACTTGGGGTTGAGAGCATAAATACCTGTTTAATAGGAAAGAAAAAAAAAACAGGATTTGAAAGTCGACTGCTAGAAATACTCCAAGTAATACCAGGTAATCAAACTGATTTTGATGCTAGTCATCCTGCCTACCTTAATGGTGGAGCCAATCTGTTTGTTTCTCTTAATTTTGATAAGGATTCGAATGCAATCTGCTCAGGGACCGAGGGGGTGTGGTATTGATCCTCGCTTTACCGTAAAGTGTTCGTCTTCGCATACAGGTCGTCGGGCTACCGAAGCGGAGGTGCCATCCCCTGTGCAGAGGATCAAAATTGTGATGGCATATCTTCGGATCATCCACAGGGATGTTTGCCAGACCGTCGCCAATAGCCCATTGTACAGCTCTAGTGCGACGTAAATGAACTAGAACTAAGATATGTATGTTTTACGGGCTGCGGTTACAGAACATCCTGCATTAAGCATTTCACAAGTCTGCAACTCATATAAATCCTCACCTTGGTAGTTATGAAGCATATTTAAAAAAATTTCACTAAATATTATCAAAAACTACATTTAAAAAAATGACCTATTAAAGAATAAAAAAGAAAACTTCAAAAAAAACTATCACCCTAGATAACATTTGCCTTCTTTATCAAATTTTCATGCTAAACTAAAGTGAACTTTTCATGAACTAAAGAACTAACTAATTAAAGAGTATTAATTATTATTAAGTTACGGAATCTGACACAAAAACGTACCGTTTCTGTCAAAACTTGCCTTTTTTTATGAGTTTGGATATTTGATCATCAAAATATGAAGGGTAGGGATAGCTTTAATTTGAAGAAAAAAAT